TCCAATTTTTCATCCCCCAGTATCCCCCAGTCTTTCTCCATAGACCTGCTCTCCATCCCTTCATCCCCCGGTCTGCACTGATACTGGGGATTGCCCCAACCCAGGTGTAGGACCTTCCGCTTGACCTTGTTGAACTTCATGAGGTTGACACGGGCCCACAAAACATTTCCACATTTTATTTTAATTTTTATTCCAAATCGCCAGAAGCTCTTTAAGTTACTGACATTAACTTCTTGGCTTTTCAGCTTGTTGAACATTTACTGGTTGACTCTTCAGCACCCTTGCTTGGAGCTGACTTTGTAGCACTGCTGGTTTTGGGGATGCTCACTGGTTAACGGCAGCGTGCTGGTCTTAAAAGCAAAAATCTGCTGCTTACTGCGACACTACAGAAAATAATTTGCATGCAGGCATTATTTTGGTGCATTAATTAAGCAAAGGTCCTGCATAGGAGTCGGAGGAATGTAAAAGAGTCTTAAAATAACACTTTGGTATGAGGAGCTGGCTTCGTGCATGGTGCACACAGGGGTTGGAGGTCCTGTACGCTGCGATGTGGGCAAGTGCGATGCCAAGTTCGAGCTGGCTGGGCTGTTTATACCAGATGCCTTCCAAATTTTACTGCAGCTATATAAAAGAGATTATTTGTGTGGTGTCGTGAGCTTGCTTGGGGCTTTATAGGTGTCGTTGAAGGCTGTGAATCCCCCCGTACGCTCCTTGCTCGATGATCATTTATCTTACAGTACAGTATGGCGGAGCGTTGCGATTGTCATCTTTATTATGAAAAATTCCAGTGATGGATCTGTTGTGGCAGAGCCTGCTTTTCTCCTCCCCTCCCCATCAGAAGTTGTAACTCTCTGACTGAGTTTGGGAGTGGAAATTTGTGCTGTCTGATCCCTCCTGAACGCAACGCGAGGTGCTGGCTTGCTTGGGAAAGCGCAAGAAGGAAAATATTCTCCGTATTAAACTGTAAAGCCGTGAATTGCCGTTACCACTGTTGCAGGGAGATGGGGAAGCTGGTCCCTCTGCTCTAGGGAACGAGATCAGCTCCAAAATGCATTTCCCTGTTTTTCTTCTTTCGACACAGATCCAGCATCCTGAGATTAGGAGTTTACCCGGGAAGCAGCCTTATTCTCCCTTCTCTCGCAGAGACAAACCTGGGGACGGGTACAACATTTTCAGGGGAAATAATGATTCTGCTTTTCCCCTCTCAACCTTGCAATAATTTTAATTAGAGTATCTTCAAGAAAAACAGCCGGCCCTTTAAATCAGTTATAAAACCAGAAGACTTAGTCTCAGCATGTAGTGTCAGCTTTAATTATCTGGGCAGTTATAGCTGTATGTTATAAAAGTCGGGCAATTAGATGCATTCCTTAAAGCCGTGAAAAAAATTGCTAGCTATCAAGTGGAGGAAAACCAGAGTCAAACATATAACTGTTAATTGCATGAAACATTCAGCAGAATAAACCGGTGTGTAGATCATCCTGCAAAATGTGATGAAAATGGGAATGATTAAATGCTTAAGTCTGTTTGCATTTCCAGTGTAGATGTTGGGGATCAAGGTATTGTTGGTGAATGCGTGATTTGCCTGGTAGGGTTTTGCCGCCAGGCTGGTGAAGCCAAACACCCCCAAACCCATCAGAACCTTTCTGTTACCATCAACCATGATGTTCCCACACCTGATGCACCCCAGGAGTCTTTTGCCCCTTTTGCAGGTGCTAAAGAGTTGGATGTAGGACCTACGTTGGTGACATCCCTTCTGTCCCATGCACACCTGAATTTCAAGCCCTTTTTCCCATGTGGTTTCTCGTAGGAACCAACTTGCACTTCGTGAGGAGTCCACCAGCCAACAAGGTGATAAAGACGCGCTACAGGATAGTAAAGAAGAACGTGGTGTCTCCAGCCTTATCGTCCTTCAGTACCCCCGTTCCCAACTGGAAGACGAGGCGCCCCGTGACATCCAGGTAATTCTTCCATCCCTTGAATGCAGCTGGTTGAGATGCGGGAGCAGAGGGAGCTCCCAGGTTGGCTCCGCGTTATTACCATTGCATGTTCATCGCTTAATTTCTCTATTTGTTTAGCTGCTTCTACGCAGAGTTTATTGACTTAAAGTGTAAAATCGTATTAGTAATCACGTTAGCCTGAGTCGGCGGCCAACAGCTTACCGCCGTCTGTGGCTTTATATTTATTCCCTGTTTGAATTAATTGTTTCCATGAAGCAGTTAAATAAGCTGTAAGGAAGATGAATAAATGCACACAGCTTTTTACATCAGACCTCAGTAAACTTGCAGCTTCTTTTGGAGATAGATGTGGCCTGTTAATTAGGGATGGTCAAGCCTGCTAATGAGACTGGACCTCCCCTCTGCTTTATAACATTATTGTGTATGTTGGTGCTATGGAGGAGCTTATTGAAAGTGTGTTGGAGGCAGATGCCCCAAACCTACACCAGGAGGTAGGTGCAGGCACAAACTTGCTTCTTCCCAGGTTATCTGGATGGGTGGAGCATCAGCCCAGCCCTGTAGCAAATAATTTGGCATGCCAGCACCCGTCTGAAGAAGGATGTCACCAAAGGATGGTGCCATACCCTTGAGTCTGAGTCTTCCTAAATCAGCTCTGCTGACGTCTGTATTTCAGCTACGAGCGAGCTGCAGCCACGTTAACAGGTGGAGATGTTACCAGGGAACATCTCAGAGGCCAAGACAAAGCCTGGAACTTGTGTATGAGCAGAAAGGTCGTTACGGTAATTAATGCTCCAAAAAAAAGGCACTATTAGAAGTGATGGTTTTGGTTATGACCCAGATTCTGGCTATTCTTAGGTTGAGAATGACTTCTGCTCCCCCTAAAATGCTGGTTTGTCACAGGCAATATTTTGGGCAAAGAGAACCTACTCTGCTCTGCTCTGGGCTTGTTTTATTATTCATTCCAGCGTAGCAAACCCGAGGAGGTGGGCGATGCTGTGGGCTGTCCCTCATCAGCTCCTCTGTCGGGGCAGCGACATGGGTTGGCATCAACGCCCTGCTCCAGGTGGTTACTTCCAAAAGTTATTTCCACCAGCAACGTCCCAAGGGCTGACGGCTTTTATGGTGGACGCTGCAGAGAGACAAAGATTGCGGTGATTGTTTTTAAAGCCTAACTTTGCGTGATTTTTCCCTATGTTAAATGCATTTGGCTTTGAGTTTCACAAGTATTGGCATCTGAAGGGAGGGTTGGCTTTGGAAGACTTCAGGGTGATAAGGCAAAGTACCGGGTAAACATAGAGATATAAAAAAAAGATGTTTCTTTTCAAACTATGTTTTAAAATGTAAAATTAGTTCTATTGTTTTGTTTTGTTTTTTCAAGCTCTTAGTTGAGAAACTCCTCGTCTTGCGTACTATACCGGCCTCAGTTTTAAAGTGCTTCTTCTCATATGGAAACTGTGGGCTAATGGCTGATTTCCACCCACATTTTTTGCAGTCAATCTTACCTGCACTGCCTCCTCCTTTTTCTTCACCTTCCACTTTTGCCTTCGATATTTTCCCACGTGCACATCATCCCCTTTTATCCAGTCCTGAGATCCACACATCCCATTTACTCCCCTTCAAAAGCAGCTCCTTTGCCTCCACCAATTACTGCTCCGCTGGTAGGTGCCACCTCCATTTTCACATCCTTGGGGCCAACTTCTTGCATTTCCCTTTCCACAAACATGCTACGTATTCTTTTTCTTGCTCCCTCATCCTATGTTTTCTCTGAATCAAGGCAGCACATGTGTGCGTCTTACCTGCTAGGGAGAGTTCTTGCTTCCTCAGCACTCTCAGGCTACGGTAGAAAGCCAGGGCATCAAGTAAGTAATTGTTGTGTTTCTTCTTTGACCCCCAAAGCAGCTTTTAAAAAATATTATTATTAATTTTTCAAAGTGTGGCTTTTGCATGGTGCATGTACAAGTATGTTACGGTAAAATCTTAAATTGTATTGCTTTGTCATTTGCTGCTGGTAATTGCGGCGCCTGGTATTTTGCGTGCAAATGAAGATTTGTTTCTCGTGGCTTTTAATCTCCTGTTTCCTCCTGTAGTGTCGGTGTAACGCTGACTCTGGTTCTGGTCACCCCTGTAGCTGCAGTCGCTGGTGTGCAACTCAAATCGCCCTTAATGAGTGTGTTTACATCCTCATTGACATATGTCTTGCCCTTTCCCATCCCCAGCTCAGTTTGCTGCTTTTCTGATCCTGAACCAGCCCTTTTGAGCAAATCTTCCTCCCTTTATTTAGGTGGAAACTGCTGCTGCTTTCTGTTCCTGCTACAGGCAATCCTGTTCAGATGACCCTTCTCCCTCTGTCACTGCCCTCGCTGCAAATCCTGCCCATTTATCGGAGAAAAGATTGATTTTTGTTTCTAGTTTTTGTGACGGTGAAATGTTCTGCAACGGATCTGTGCAAAACTGCTGCTTCAGTGTCTGTTCGCTGTTAATGCGCCTCGACTGGGACCATGAAAGAGAAAATGTGAGACAGGCAAGGCTCACCCTGCCCTGTAATCGTCCCAATTTTATTCCTGGGAGGGGAATTTGTGTCTTGTACCTGCTGTCTGTTGATGGATTTGGTTCTGTAATGGCTTTCCCAGCCGGTGAAACATGATGTTTTTGCCACTTGATGCTGTTTATAGTGAGAATTGTCGTGTCGTACTGTGACATGACGCTGCCCAAAACCGTTATCCCGTTGATGTACTAACCCAACTCGTGAAACTCTTTCAGGCATCCGTGGTATGGGAGGCAGAGAGAGGCTTCTTGTAGCATATCAAATTTAATCCGCTGCCCCTTGATGATGTGCAGATGTGTGTGTTTAATCCGATGCTGTAACAGATTATGAACTTGGTTGCCCAGAGAGGTGGTCGATGCCCCATCCCTGGAAACATTCAGGGTCAGGTTGGACGGGCCTCTGAGCAACCTGATGGAGTTGAAGATGTCCCTGCTCCTCGCAGAGAGGTTGGACTAGAGGACCTTCAAAGATCCCTTCCAACCCAAACCATTCGATGATTCTATAAACTTGGTTAACAGAAAATAACTCATGCTCCAACTATTCTGCTCAGGTTCTTCCCTCGCAACTTGTTACTCCAGATCTGGATGGTTGATGGATGGAGGATCCGCGGTGAGAGCCAAGGAGGGCAGGAGCTTCAGGCCAGGGATTCAGGCAGGGTTAGAGCAAGAGTTTCCAGCTGCTGGGTGATGGATCGTGCTCAGCCGAGCAGTGATTTTGCAGAGGAACGACCTGTTCATGCTGCCGCCATTGGCTGAGAGCTCCCCCTTGTAAAATAATTTTATCCGTATTAATCGTGGACTTCATTAAATGACGTAGTTTAGATCTTACAGCTGTTTCAGACAAATCTTGATAAAATGCCATCAGCAAATTAAACAATTATATTTTAAAGAAGCAATAAATCTCTTACACAGTCTCCCCATTACCTTCGTTGTGTGTGATCAATCATCTGGACCGTCTGGAGGAAGCACATGGCAAATCCTTCTCTTACAGTTTTTATGTTTTGGTTTTTTTTCTCCATCGTTCATAGCATGCTCTTGGACCTGTAACAAGCAATGAGCTGGGAGCTGCTTTCTTGCTGCTTTGCTTTGCTTTTGCCAAAACATCGGGCAGCTTCGGTGGCGGTGGGACACTCTGTGCATGCCTGCAGCGCTGGTTTAGTCTCCTCCTCATTTTTATCTTTGGATGTGCATCATACTGAATGGTCAACTCTTTGTTTTTAATATCCTTAAGCCAGAAGTGTGATGTTAAAAGGCTGGTAGTGCGGCAGTTAAGTGCTACTCCCAAATTGGTTTCTAGCTGACGCTAAGGGGAAGTTCCTACTATGAAATCCAGGTTTTGGAGGGGTTCAAAAGCGATGTGCAAGAGTTTTACACAGGCACCAAACTTTTCAGATTTAATATGCTGCTGTAATAAACTTTAGGCAGGAGCTGTGTTCTTCTCCTTCTTGTGAACTTGCTGTCATTAATGATGTTTACGAGATTCCTCCTTCTCTTTTTGGGTATCTGTGCTGCGGTTTGCAGCAAGAAACCTTACTGGGGCATCTGAGATGTTGCCTTCGTTGACGACAAAGTTCCCCAAATCAGCTTGCTAAGCTGAAGACAGACGTGTCTTTGGGAAATGAGTGACAGGGAGAGTCGCTGCAGGTCTGGAGGTACCCGGTGCTAATCCCTCGGTGATGAGTTGCGTTCTCCCCTTATTGCTAGGTTGCATTAAACTTCGCCCTGCTGCTGACTTTTCTTAGAGGCGATAGATGGGAGTATATTTTAAATTAATTTTACTACACTTTTTGTAATATTTTTGTTTTAAATAGATTTATAAGCAACTTGGGGGCTATTTCTCCAAATTTATGAAGATAATTTTCACTCTCTTGATAAGGTTAAATTTACACCTGCTATTTCCATATTAATTCACATTGCTAAGTGGATCTAATTTTCTTCCGTTCTTCTATCTAGTGAGTGTGGCCTTTCCTAATGCAATTTCCCCCTCACTAAATCACTGTGATCGGGAGTCATGATCGAGTTAAATTAACTTAAATTAATTTACTTAATAAGAGCTCCAGATCATTGTGAATGAGGTTAAGATTTATTGATTCTCCTTTTCACTCCTCCCCCTTATCTCTCTCGGCTTTGCAGGAGCGCAGCTCAGAAGGGCTGTGATTTGCTTGCCTTAAATTTCATTTGCTCCTATTGACATTGCGGTTGATCATCGCTTAGAAATCGCGGGGGGATGCCCTCTCCCCGTGAAGCCTCTCGACGCCGGGAGAGGGCTGAGTGCATTGCCGCGGAGGAGTTGCGATGGATGAAGCAGAACGCTGAACGGTGACGGTGATGCTGCTCCTGGTTTCAGCCTCTTTCTGTGGTTCATGTGGTGTCAGCAGATGTGGCCACCAGTAAACCAGGATGTCCAGGTTTCATAGACCTTGCCCAGATGCCTTCTGGGGTTGAGGGTGCTGTAGGATTGTG